TTTATTTGTGTGTTGGAAAGGAGGTCGTGTTCCACTGCCCACCGCACCCTCTACAAGCCAGCGCCTGGGACTCTAGCATCCTTGTGAGGGAGTCGGCCACCCGGGCTTGTCGGAGCCGGTCCTTGGGAGCGGAGCGCAGCGCTGGTGACTCCCGGCGAGGAGGCGGCGCGGGCCGGCCCAAGGCGCGAGGGGCCGGAGGGGCTCCCGGGCGCCTGCGGAGGCGTAGCACGCGCGCTGCTCCCCAGCCGGCTCTCCCGGCGCCCGCGCCCCGCCTTCGAGGTGTCTGTGCTGGGAGAGGGCTGAGGGGAGGTGCTGGGGAGAAATGGCGGAGCGGGGCCGGGTTGGGGGCGCTGGGGCGATGGCGATGGCTACTCAGGGCCGTGATTGTGGAAAGGGGCCTGTTGGGCCCTGCGTTCTGGGTGCTCTCCCTTCCCACAGGCGCCTCGTTGATGCCAAAGCCTCATGTTTGCGTGGTAGGTCCGGCGATTTAAGCAAAAGTAAGACTCAGTGGCTCTTACTTTTAAATTAAGAAGACACCAAATACAGCCTCTTAATACAGCAGTTTTATTTCCTTCTATGTTTAGATCTTGCACCAAATTAAATTCAAGCAAATGACAGGCTGAGGAGTCCATCGATTTTCATGGGAAGGGTCCATATAAACAAGTAGTGTGCTGTTATTCCCCTTTCTTATTTGGCAACTGTTTACTCAACATCCCAGCCTACTTTAATATATTGAGGTAATGGTGGTTCAGAATAGAGGGGACAGTTTTCTGTAGAGACCGTTTCTAATGCATGAAGTCAGTCTGCTTATTTCAGACTAAATTCCATCTCCATATATCCTTCACAGCCTCTCTCATTTTGGTGCAGAGGCAGTTTCACAAAAGCTTTTGTGGATTTCCTGAGAGTGGATACCTGAGGAACATGGATGTTGAGAGGCATTTATTTACTTATTTCCTGATTCTTGAGAAGGAGGTGTTAGGACCTGAATTCTGGGTTTATGTCCATCAACCTGATATTTTTCTATTATTGTCAATATTTTCCTGGTGTTTTGCTGAAAACCCCTCCCTCTTTCTGTATGGCATGACTCATCTCTAGCTAGAAGACTGTTCTTTGGTGGGAAAGATAGCATCTCCTGAGGTCCCCTGCTGTGGGCTGGCTGGTATAAATGGTGAATGAGATAGGATCTATGTATGCCTGAAGAAGGAAGGGCTGGGATATGCAAAGATCCTATTGAAAGAATAGTCCCCATTATCTTTCCTGCCTTCTTTCTAAATACATTTGTCTATTTTCACTACCCACTCTTGCACCTCATTTTTGTTCAGGGAAAAGAGGTGTGGCCTCTGCTGGGGAAATGACTGACTTTAGAGTTGGGAGATGTATGTAATTAGACAAACTGCAGGTCTTAGGGGAATGAACGGGGAATCATTTGGCAAGAGCAGACAGATGGGAAGCATATAACATGACCTTGAATGTACAAAAGCGTATGTTATAACACTTGTCATGGTTGTTGAGCCATCTCAGTCTCTTCTGTTTTCTCTCCTCTGCCTGTTTGTCTCTGTAGGTTTATTCCTTTATCAGTTCCTGTAGAAATCTGTAGGTAGCTGTTGACTTTCAAGAAGACCAAAACTGTTCATTTGGATCCAAGGTGAGTGTGAACATGAGCACCCCTACTAATTGGGGATGGGAATTGGGTGTTGGGAAGTGGGTGAGACAGATGGAGCCATTGTCTTCCAGCATTCTAGACAGCTGTGCCCTCACATTCCTGTTTAGGAAAGGGGGGGGGGGCGGTGAGAAAGGGTTGTGCTTATAGGATAATTGACAGACATCTAGGAAATGGGGAAAGAAACCATGAGGAGGACGAAGCCAGAAACATACAGTTGACCCTTGAACAACATGGGTTTGAACTGCGTGGGTCTACTTACAGGATTTTTTCCAATTTACCACAGTTGAGTTGATCCACACAGTTCTACTGAGTGCAATTCAAACCTACATTGTTCACGGTTCAGCTCTGTGGTTGGGAATCTATGTATGTGGAGAATCGACTTTAGTTATCCATAGATTTTCAACTTCAGCGCCCCAACCCTTGCATTGTTCAAGGGCCAACTGTATAACCAAAGCCCCAAATCTGGAAAGATACCTAGGTATTGGGTCTAGAAACCAAAGTGCATGTCTGTCTACTGAAACTCTGAATTCCAGTCCCTCCTGTGTTTTTGTCCATAGGTCTGCCTGTGATTTCAGCTGTAGGGCTTATCAACACTAGAAGCAATCAAGAAAGGAAGACCAGTGCAGGTTGGTGTGAGGCCTACCTGGATATACCTGTATGGTATAGTGGTATATACCAAAGGGGCTGGATGCTTTGTAGCCTCTCTCACTTTCAGCAAACTTTCCCATCATCCCTGATCCTGTTTAATGCAGAGAAGAGTGTGGTAGTGCCTGCGCAGGATGTTGGACATTAGTGGGAGTGTGGAAGGGATAAAATGAGGTAACTCCCACTTCTCCTACCAAACAGTCCATCTCTACCCTCTCATGTCCTGTTTGGCTGTCTGCATAGATGAGCACAGTTGGAAGAGGCTTAAAGCCCATTTCCTTCTTCCACCTTAGGTCCATCTCCAGCGGTGACTGTGGTGGCCTTGGAGTGGTGGAAGAGTATCACTTTCAGCAAGTCTGCACTCAGGAACCATCATCTTCCCTCAGTCTGAGTGCCTCTGCCCTCTGTCTGTATCATTGACAGAAGTTTTGTGTTCAGAAAGGGGACTGTGTGACTGTTGAACTGACAATTGACTCTAACTCTTGCTACAAAGTTGGTCTCTGACCCCGTGAAAGTGTCAACATATTGACCCGGGACTTGTTGAGAACCAAGGCCAAGACTCTATAGGGCTATTGATACAACTGGGCTTTAATCATGGGTGGGAAAAGAAATAAGGGCAAAACTGAAAAAAGGGCTAGTGTAGAAGCTAAAACAAAGAGGGAAGCTATTGGCGTAGGCAGACCTGTAGCCAAGACCCAGGCCAAAGCAATAGCCAAGCCAGAGGTTAAGGCAAATGCAGTGGCACAGGTGAAGGCAGTGTCTAAGAAGAAGATTGTTACTGAGAAGAAAGGAGCCCCAGCAAATTTCAGTCCCAAAGTTGAAGATGAGGCCACTCAAGTGTCTCAGTGTCATTCTGTGAAAAAGGCCGAGGCTGAGACCAAGTCCATGTGTAAAGATAAGGCTGGTATTGATTCCTGTGCTGGGGAAGAGACCAGTGTTGGTTCCAGGTTCCAGAATGGAGAGGCTGAGACCAAGTCCATGTGTAAAGATAAGGCTGGTATTGATTCCTGTGCTGGGGAAGAGACCAGTGTTGGTTCCAGGTTCCAGAATGGAGAGGCTGAGACCAAGTCCATGTGTAAAGATAAGGCTGGTATTGATTCCTGTGCTGGGGAAGAGACCAGTGTTGGTTCCAGGTTCCAGAATGGAGAAGAGACTGATAATAGTTCCAGTGCCAAGGATGAAGGTAAAGCTGATACCGGTGCCCCATCCTGTGCTGAGAAGTTGGAGCCTGTGGCCAGCGCTAGCTGTAAAGCTAGGCCAGGGGCTGAAGAGGAGGAGGAAGAGAATGTTATTGGGAACTGGTTTTGGGATGGAGATGAAACTAGTTTTGACCCTGATCCTAAACCTGTGAGCAGAATACTTAGGCCCCAGCCTGTGGATGAAATTAATGAAAAAGATAGGCCCAAAGACTGGTCTGAGGTAACTATCTGGCCCAATGCCCCTGCTGTAACTCCAGCAGTGTTAGGATTTAGATCTCAAGTCACATCTGAGACAAAGCCTCCTTCATATATTGTCCTGGGCTCAGCTGAGGAAAATGCTCGTGCTTCGCCTGAGGAAACAGAGAGTCTTTCTAAGAGCATATTCTCATGCTCAGAGTCTCTCCCGGAGCACCCATTTGGTTCTGACCCTTGCATTCAGACTATAGAGCAGATTAGACGCCAAATCAAGATCAGGGAGATGAATGGGATTAAGCCATTTGCTTGTCCTTGCAAAATGGAATGTTATATGACTTCTGAGGAATTTGAAAAACTTATTACCTTACTTGAGTCAACTACTGATCCTCTCATTCATAAAGTAGCTCAAATTGCAATGGGGATCATTAAGGTTCATCCATTTGCCCAAGAGTTCATTAATGAGGTAGGTGTAGTGACACTTATTGAGAGCTTGCTTAGTTTTCCTTCCTCTGAAAGGAGAAAAAATGCTGTATTTACTCTGAATGAACCTGGTGGGCTTGAAAGACACCGCAAGGTTGAATTACATGTTAAACATATGTGTAAGGAAACCATGTGTTTTCCCTTGAACTCACCCGGACAGCAATCTGGCTTAAAAATACTGGGGCAACTGACTACTGATGTTAACCGTCATCATATTGTTGCCAGTTATCTTTCAGACTTTTATTATTTGCTTTCCCAGGGAAATCGTAAAACCAGAAATCTTGTTTTGAAGGTACTTTTGAATATGTCTGAAAACCCAGTTGCAGCCAGAGAAATGATCAGTTCAAGGGCATTAGGAGCATTAAAACTAATCTTTAACCAGAGAGAAGCAAAAGCCAGTCTCGTTAATGCTGTGGCCATATTTATTAACATAAAGGAGCATATCAGAAAGGGTTCAATTGTAGTTGTCGATCAGTCGAGTTACAGCACACTCATGGACCTTTTCCGTGAAGTTAAAATGATTATTGAAACATTGTAAAATGAGCCAGAAATAGAACACAGAACAATCTCCAAATTCTGATGAGATAACTCCTACTTCTACCAAACAGTCCATCTCTACCCTCTCATGTCCTGTTTGGCTGTCTGCATAGATGAGCACAGTTGGAAGAGGCTTAAAGCCCATTTCCTTCTTCCACCTTAGGTCCATCTCCAGCGGTGACTGTGGTGGCCTTGGAGTGGTGGAAGAGTTTCTTCCTCTGTTCTCAAAGATCCTTGCATAATATTTTGTTTGTTATAGTGTGCACATTATAAATGATGTCTTTAACACTATTATTTGTGGTAGTATCTAGGTTTGAGCTAAACCATTTTGGGGTTATCAAATATTACATTGTGAGCTGAAAATGTTTATTTTTATCTTGTGTAGAGGGGGTACTTTTCAACATTTTACTTAAGAAATTAGTGAACCAGTTCATCCTAAATAAGCTAACGTTCATTAGTGTCTGCTTAGATCCATTTGTGGCTTCAAATGGCAAAAAAAAAATAGTCTTATAATCTAGTTGCAGAAAGGCATATATACACACAAAAAGATAACTAACAGATCATGTATGCATTCGCACACTCATACCCATTGTGAAATGTACACTCTCAACATAAAGAAGGTAGGTGTTTCTCTAAGATGTTTAATATAAGAATTAAGTTTCCTCCTGTTCTGCCTGCATCATAAAGCATATCCTACAACCCAGAAATAGCCCTGAATCCTAGATAAAATGTCAGATTGACTTTTAAATGTCGCTACTACGTTTATAACTCATTGTTAGGCTACTTCATTTATGTCAAAGTCATCTCACAGAAGAGAAAGGAGGTAGGTGTAGGGAGGAAACATTTGCTGAGTACCTGCTCTTATGTCAGGCAATGTGTTGGCTCTATACAGGTTTTTTCCCCCCTCTTCTGGCAATGGTCCTGTGAGCCTAGGTACTTGTAGTTATTTCTTTTTTATATAACTCATTGTGGATCACCTCCAATGAGAATTGGGGAGGTTAAATACTTTTTTCCTACATTCCCATAGAGGCAGGTGGCATAGCTGTTCTGTATTTAAAAAACCATTTACTATGCAACCTTACAGTCCTCTCACTTTTTTAAGTGGTGGCCTTGAAGGCTCAGAGACTGGTTTTAATGATTCAGTTTGCTGTAGATAATTCCCCTGACAGTCTTGCAATTCTTCACTTCCTCCAAATACACATGTCCATTAGGCATTTGGGGTCAGCAGAGAAGTCTGGGATGAGTGTATGGATACGAACTGGCAGCTCCTGGAAAGCAGTAAGTACCCAAAACTATTGAATAACATGTAAATTTGAGTCATTAGCAAGTAAAATTTGCTATATCCTTATCTTTTTCAACCTGATTATATTTTTTGTCAGAACTGGACTCATTCTGTACGTTGTTTCATACATTACATTTTAAAAAAGATAATTGCTTTCTTCCTCCTTGCAAAATCATAATTTTTTATAATTTTTTCTATTTCATATGTATCATGAAATGTCAAAAGGTTCCATCTTTTACTAGTAGTCTAGTCTACATTCTGCATTTGTACCAGCCTAAAACTGTACAGGATAGACTTAATTGGAGAAATTTAGACCCAGAACTGCAGCTTTATCAGCACAGAACAGGAAAGCTAGGAGAGAAGCTGCTACCTCAACTGACATAACAGTAATTCCTGGAAGTCTTCATGGTTCAGAAAGCGTCCCCAGGACTTTTGGACTATGGCTATGTTCTCTGCGGTTCATGGTAGGAACTACAACCCCTGGTCTAAGTTGAAGAGAATGTCCCAGTTTGCAAAAATAGTGGGTTATATGCTTTGAAATTTTTCAACAGTTAAGAAACTAACACAAGATCATACTGTAAATAAATGTTTATAACTTGCTTTCCCCCACTATCTGTATATTGTGAATATCTTTGCACGTCAATAAATGTTACTGCAGCATATTTTTGAATCACTCAATTTGTGTGTGTGTGTTAACAGTTGGTGCATAGTGCCTAATCTTTTATTACATATCCTCTTAAACAATATGCACAAATTCTCTTGCAAAAATAAGGCTGTAGTGTTCTGCAACTTGCCTTTTCGTCTTTCCAGCTATTTTTTCAATTATAGTATTAAACATATCTGCCACATGCTTTTTATAGCTTTATTGAGATATAATTGACATACATTAACCCATACATATTCAAAGTATACAATTCGATAAGTTTTGACACATATACACACGTGAGACAATCACCATAATCAAGATAGTGAACACATCTACTACCCTGAAAAGTTCCTTCATGTCCTTCTGTAGTCCTCTCCCTCCTACCACTCAGTGTCTCTTGCCCTCAGACAACCACTGATCTGCTTTATGACAATATAGAATCATTCTCATTTTCTGTAATTTGATATAAATGGAATCCACACATGTATTCTTTTGGGGATGTTTGGCTTCTTTCACTTACTATAATTATTTGAGATCCGTCCATGTTATATGTATCAGTAGTAATTGTTCTTTATTGTCAAGTAGTATTCCGCAATATGATTATATCACTTTGCTTATCCATTTACCTGTTGATGAAAATTTGGATTGTTTCCATATTTGGGCTATTAGAAATAAAACTGCTATCAGCATTCATGTACAACTGTTGCTTTTCTCTTGGATAAATACCTAGGAGTGGGATAGCTGGATCATTTGGTAAGTATATGTTTAACTTACATTTTCCGAAATGTAACATTTTACATTCTTGCTGCAGTGTATGAGAGTTCTGGTTTTTCCTCCACATCCTTGCTAACACTTCGTGTGGTCAGTCTTTTTAATATTAACCATATCTCATTCTAATTTGCATTTAGCTAATGACTAATGATGTTGGACATATTTTCGTATGCATTCTGTTTCAGTGATCCACTTGTGTGTCTTGATTATGATGCCAAACTCTCTTGATTACTATAGCTTTATAATGTCTTGAATCAAGCAGTGTGAGTCCTTTAACTTTATTATTTTGCAAGGTTATTTTTGGTTATTCTTATTCATGTTTTTCCATATGAATTTTAGAATCAGCTTGTCAATTTCTACCAAACCTCCAGTTGGGATTTTGGTTGAGATAGCTTTGAACAATAGATCAATTTGGGAATAACTGACATTTTAACAATATTGAATCTTCTGACCTATTAAGAGAATATGCAAGGGGCAAAGTAGGTTTACGGTTGGTTGTATGGAATATACTAGTAATAAAATTAACCTATATAATAAAAGGCAAATATGCAAATCGAGCGAACGGTGGAACGACCGGTTGCTATGACGTGCATTGACCACCAGGGGCAGACATTCAACACAGGAGCTGCCCCCTGGTGGTCGGTGCACTCCCACAGGGGGAGCACTGCTCAGCCAGAACCCATGAGCTGGGCTCACAGCTGGAGAGCACAGCAGTGGTGGCAGGAGCCTCTCCCACCTCTGCAGCAGTGCTAAGGATGTCCAACTGATGGGGAGCAAGGCTAAGCCATTAGTCAGACATCCCCTGAGGGATCCCAGACTGCCAGAGGGTGCAGGCCAGGCTGAGGGACCCCCCTGAGTGCACTAATTTCATGCACTGGGCCTCTAGTTAATAAATAATAATACAAGAATAAACTCTGTTTTGTGTACTCACAGCTATAAATCTACTTTTGCCCACCCCTGAATATCTCATTTAGATAATCTTTAATTTCTCTCAGAAGCATTTTGTAATTTTTATGCAACACAACTTTTTGGCATTTTCTTTCATATTCTTTAGCATATTTGTATATTCTTTCTCCTGTGTAAATTGATGATTCTTTGTTTATATCTTTACTAGAGGCCCGGTGCATGAATTCTTGCATGGGTGGGGTCACTTGGCCCGGCCAGTGATTGGGGCCAGCCGACCGGGGGGAAGGATCACAGGAGGTTGGCTGTGGGAGCGCACTGACCACCAGGGAGCAGCTCCTGTGTTGAGCATCTCCCCCCTGGTGGTCAGTGCACATCATAGTGACTGGCTGACCAGTCATTTGGTTGACCAGTTGTAAAGGTCGCTTAGGCATATATATATATATATATATGTATATATATATATATATGTATATGTGTATATATATATACACATATACATATCATATATATATTATATATGCTTGTTTGAATATTTCTGTATGATAAATTCCTTGAAGTGAAACTGCCTTCTCAAAAATCATGAATGGCAATGCCCTCCTGCCAAAAACTACCAGGAACATGCTTATATTTTAAAAAGTTGAGTCGCACAGAGGTAGAGTACATACCATGGGAAATCATGGGGTGCTTCAGTAAGAGGATTTAGAAATGACTTACAGTATTGGGACTTGTGTTAGGTGATTTGGGTGGGTTTAAGAAAGCGAGGCTTTGCTGTAGGTTGAAAGCTGTCAGGAAGCATGAGTAATTATGTGATTTGGTATCTAAATCAGTCTTACTCTACAAATGGGGACAACTAGGCCAAAGCTAAAATGATAGGTAAAGAAGTAGCAATCACACATATTAGCAAGAATAGGGGGATATTCGGTCATTTTTGTGATGGAGACAATGTTTATCTGTGTTTATACATGATTACAGAGTGGTCTTGTTTTTGTCTTGATACATCACAGTCACAGAGTGGCCTTATTTGACGTTAATGTTCAGTGAAATTGTTTATATTCAACATGAGAATACCAAGGCCTAGCTGTGAGTTCTAGGCCAGTTCCTGAATGTCAGGAGCTGCTTTTTTTCCCCCTTTTCAATGACATTTACAAATTTTGATATATATTGGCTAACTGACTTTCAAAACATATTCTCTCAAGCCATAGAACATGAATGGCTATTTCTTCATACACTTGCCATCACTCAGTATTAATATTTTCAATTTTTGCTACTCTCAGAGGGAAAATATGTTTTTATAACATTTTAAAAGTTACATAATATTTTATGTTATGGATGTGACAATTAAATCATACCGCTACATTTTGTTGTGTTACTTCTAGGGATGTGAGGATGGACCCCATCATCTAGTGGGAAAAGGAGAGTGGTGTATATACATGTGTATACCACTTTGTTTTACTTATGCCCCCTCATTGCTACTCTTCCCATGTGATCTCCAGATTCAGGCCCTTCCAAATACCACCAACTGACAAACAGAACAGTTATACCACTTTACATTTTGTGAACTAAATTAAAAACAGAAGAATTAAGAGTTTAGCTGTGCTGATATTGTGATGTGGACACACACAGGCAATGGCCACAGTCAGCAGACTAGCAATCTTGAGACAGAATGGGGGTTATTAATGAGACAAGCACAAGCTTCCCAGTGAGCAGACTTGCTTTCCAGTTAGAGCCTTGTAAAGATTATGTAATTCTTCAGATTAGAGATTGGTCATTGTATAAAATAAGCTTCAGAACAACATCAGAATTAATGAGCTGATAAAATTCTTCAGTAAACCAACATGCAGATTTTGCTTTCAGAAATTGTAGGACCCTCTCAACTTGTCTCTGGACACCTATTCCCTGCAGGACAGTGTTATATACCCTGTTGTCAAATTTTCTGAAAGAAACTGGCTCCCTCTCTCCTAGAGATGCCATGTCCTTCTCAATAGTCATTGCCAAGGTTTCCCCGAACCCCAGAAACTTGCAAAATGGTGTGTGTGTGTGTGTGTGTGTGTGTGTGTGTGTGTAGACTCTTGCCACTTCACCCCCCACAGTGCAGTGAGGTACTCTGCGCAAAGTTCTAAAATATGTCAGGAATGAACAAAGGACCTAGTATGTTAGTAATGGTTTGGGGGAGAGTGATTCGGAAAGCAGTAATGTGTTTACAGATGCTTTGCTTTGAATCAACAAAGTGCTATTTCCTCTCCTCAATGATGGACTATTTTTATTTGAAAATGGAAAATGGATATTGCATTGGAGAGAATATCCTCCACTAGGCACATGCTGTATTGTGTGATTTTCATGTGTAGTCAGGCTATTGTGGTTTAAAAATATGAAGCACTACTCTTAATCAGAGCCATCTTGATTCTATATACTACAATATGATGTGATTGATTGCACTCGTTAAAAACACAACAAAATATAAGTGCATATGAATCTTATCCTTTAAAATGGCCCCCGTGGAAAGCCATACACTTATACTGTAATTCTTTGCAACATTTTGGAACTGCTTTCAGAACCAGTTTCTGAGCCGCACCAGGATCATTATTTTATAGCCATGGCTATACAGTGAATATTTCTGTTCTCTAGATTAGTGTTTTCAATTTTTATCATGTCATGACACACACAGAAAATGATATTTGTACTGTGATAAACACCCATATGCTCTCCATTAAAGGCATCAGCCCCAGTGACTGCATCTGCCTTATTGCTGCTGCAACCACTGAGCACTGAAGGAAGTAGTATCTGTAGCATATCTGTAAGCCATTTCCAGTATACCAGTGGGATACTTTACCCCAGGGCACTGGTTTTCAATCTGTGTTTCTGCAAGTTCTAGGATTACCTTTAAATGCTTCAGAAGGCCCTGAAGAGGTTCCAGGGGAGGGAGAGTGGGTTGGATCTGTGTGCTCCATACCACCTTCAATCAAAGCAATATAATTTATTGAAGACTCTACATAATACTTTCAAATATATAGTCTATATAATACTTTCCACTTTGTTTCAGAAAATAGCACTATTTTATTTTGTTTGGGAGAGTGGGCAGGTATCCTTTCTCAGAACTTCTGGATTTGCTTCTTGGTGCCAGTGGCCTTGGTGACCTTGAGCACATTGACGCACATGGTCTTGCTCAGGGGCCAGCACTCACCCACCATGACAGTGTCGCTGATCTGGACATCTCTAAAGTAGGGGGACATGTCGTAACCAGTTTGGCTCAGTGGATAGAGCGTTGGCCTGCGGACTGAAGGGTCCCGGGTTCGATTCCGGTCAAGGGCATGTACCTTGGTTGCGGGCGCATCCCCAGTGGGGGGCGTGCA